AGGCACTTCAAATAAATGAGTGGCCACTCCCTCTTCATAAACCACCGTGGTGCACAAGAATATGAGTAGTTGTTGAGACATTTTATCGATCAAAAGCTGCGTAATTCTACTCGCAGCACTCATTCTCGTCAAATAACGTCTAAAAAATGAGCTTTTCCTTCCACGCGCTGCTAAGAAGAACTATAGGCATGCAGATACGTCTTTCTTCCCTATCTTCATTCTCTCATCGTGCAGGTCATATTTCAAATAAATCATATTGCTCATAGAAAGAATAAACACATATTAATGGTAGTGAAAATTGCACACCTACATCTAGGAGTGTTGAAATGACCTTCAACTTTTACTATATGTAGTTGATGATTGTCTCTTTAGATGCTCTAAATATCAGCTATATAAACGCTTCCATTTCGGAGCAAACTTATATGCCAATAACACCAAATTTGGAAGAATTTTCATAATTTTCGAAAATTGTGAAAGTCATTGAGCAGTAGAGCTCAAACTTTTAGGAAATCATGTTTATCGAACGTTGTTTGACTGAGAAATCAAAGATTCAGGGGCAAAATCGTGTTTTTTTTATCAAAACTTGAAATAGTCATAACTCCATTCAAAGGCACTGATGGGATGCATCAACTTAGGATATTCACTACTCACTAGGGTCTACAAGACGGAAGTAGTCGGAGTCCAAAAGCATTTTAAAAGAGCGGTTTTCTACGTGTCTTTCATCTCTCTAATCACTTATTGATTAAACTTAGATTATATATTGTTTGTTAGTTTAAATTTTTTTCTACAAAATGATCTGTTGTTCGGCTTTTATCAGCCTTTCGGTAAAACGTTAATTATATTCTCTAAGCGTAATTTTCATCCATGAAAAAATTAAAAGACCTATAACTTTTGAGCAACATAATCGTGGCCGCTACGGTGTTCAGATACGTGATCGGCGTGGTCAAATCAACAAAACACGAATCTAGTTTAAGGGTTGACACTAAGGAGGTACCTCCTTGTTAGACATGGGATAAAAACAATCAACTTTACATTTAGTCCGCAAGCCTATTCGTAAACGTTTTCTAAAATTAAATCGATCCGTTACATTTATGCAACTTCCGATGATTTACGCAAACTGCACACTACATCTGCCATAAAAATCAGATTGTCTTTCAAATTTATCTATAATTTCTCTAGTCTAGAACAATGAGAGTAGTCAGAAGAACTTCACTTTGAACAGATGCATGATTGAATTTCTTTCGTACCGTACCCGGAGTTTTGCAATTTGGTATTGTGGCAGGAGTAGTTGATTGAGACACTACAAATTGACAAAAAAGATATAAAATTTATTTAAAAAAGAACTGGTGGTAATAAAGAGTGTTATCATCCTGCTATCTTCTGGAATTATTTGGTTACAAAGCAACCAGAATACTTGAGCAAGCTGTTTATCGGTTTGGGATTTTTTGGACTTTGCCTAAAAAAGGTTTTCTTACCTCTTCTTACAGGTTACTCCAAAGAGTTTGAATATTTTGATCAAAATATTCTCTGTCACCAATATCGTTTAGCAAACTTGCCCCAATATGAAACTGATCACGCAAATGTAGATAGTTTTAAATGGTCAACAAGTGTCAATGAGAGTAATGCATAATACAAAAACAAAAACTATGCATTTTTGGTAATTTTGTGATAAGCTCGCTTCCGTGTATGATCACCTAGGTTTTATTCCTCGAAATTTCTTCTTGAACATGTTTTTTGGATGGTCATTACCTGTAAGTATCTAGGACTGTAAAGTTCTAAGAACATGTTTAACTGGAAAAGTGCTTCATAACTTCATCCAAAATTAGTGATGAGAAGTGCACTTGTTTGATTTGGTTTGCACTCGATTTTCGATGTTTTGAGGCACGTTATATTTGAGTTTGACAAATGCAACGCGGACTTTCTTATCATATCAAAATATTCAAGTTACAAATCTACAGGCTTCAGGGGAAACAGTTTTTATTGAAAACTTGATTTTCCGCCTGCAACGCCCAATGATGTTTTTCACATAATGCCTAATACACAAACTGTATTCTGTTTTATATGATACGCTTTTGTAGAGGGCTCAATAAGCTTTAATTGCATATAAATAGACGGTTTCTGCTAACTTCAACGTTGGATGAAATCATTCATTAGTAGTTAAAAATTCGCGTCGACAAAGAATGTTAGAAAATGTCGATTTCGAACGCAGCCGATCACTTGAAAATTTTATTTTTTGCGTGTTTACAATGCCCAATCATAGCGCTACAAAACCTGATAAGACACGAAAAATAAGACCAATTTTCTTAGTGGATGAAATTTTACTTCGAATTTCCAGAAGTGTGCGGTGAACGATTTGGGGACATGTTTTCATAATCAAAATTTTTCCCAGAACAGCTTTCTGGAACAGGTTTTCCAGGGCATCTTTGGAAAATTAGCTCGCGTGTAAAAATTTTCCAATAGGATTGTATTGATTTGTTTTCACAGACTGATAGCTAGATTAGCGAATTTTTTAATATTAGGTGAAAACAGCCTGAAAACACAAATTTTCGTAAAACTCGCTTTTCGGTAGAATTTTAAAACTTTTCTAAAAACAAATATTGCCACGAGATGCAGCGTGGTCGATTACGCATAGTTCATCCGTCTTGAAGGCTACCAATCGTCACCGGGTGCCAGTCCTGGGATTCGTAGGAAATTCGATACAACGCCCAAAGCGTGGAAAATCAAGGTCTCACTTGACTCTCAATCTGAAAAAGGACACCCTGGGCTATCAGTCTGTGAAAACAAATCAATACAATCCTATTGGAAAATTTTTACACGCGAGCTAATTTTCCAAAGATCCCCTGGAAAACCTGTTCCAGAAAGCTGTTCTGGGAAAAATTTTGATTATGAAAACATGTCCCAAGTCTCCTTTTTCGAATGGTGAAAATTGGAGCTCTTTAGCTTTTTTCTATCAAAAGTTATTCAAAAAACAGTCATATACCATTCTTTTTTTGGATGGACAATACATAGTGAATTCCTTGTTCTGCTTTCCGCTCAAATCTTCTAATAATCTCAACCCTCTGTCCGTTTAATGGTTTCTTTGGACGTCTCATATGACTCTATGTATATATACTGCGTAATAGGCAGTATATACCGAGCCGTTTTAAGAAATTTGTGATCCCTGTGCTAATCATTAACGTGGGGCTCCTCGTTTTCGCAAGAATTTAAAAAAACCCTTTTTAATGTAATAACGTGTACTCGTAAGTAGATGCAATAATTTTTTACATCGATGCGCGTGCGTTATCATATTCTTCATATACCGTGGCTTCTTCTACATATCCACACTAATATCTGAGAGGATCTTATTATAATTTTAATTATTTGTACATTTACTTTTAAAATTTTTTTTCTACAAAAATGTAACTTCCGTAGTTTTCAACACATCAATTTGTATTTTTTTTAATAATAAAAAAATGCAACGCTTAAGCCGTCCGATTGGGCCCCTAAGTCAGCCGGGCTCCTGTGTTATAGCACAATTAACACATAGGATTAGTAGGCACTTAGTATATATACATAGGCAGTGTCTATATACTGTTCGTTTTTTTATTTGATTATCACTGATACATATCTGGTTTTCTTTAACATTGATAAACCTCAAGCATTGAGAATGAAACGGCTCACAAGGCTTTTTCTGAGCAAGTTAACTTTAGAAAATTCCTAATATTATACTAAAATAGATATCTGCCATGTAATACCGTAACAAATGACAGATTTTGTTTAAGCACTTTCCCTTCTACCGATTCACAACAAATTGTGGTCAACAGGTATCTTTATGAACCAAGCCTTCTGTTTTGCGATAATCACTGTTTCATTCGTTCTGTAATGTATATGTGTTCGGTTTATAGTTTAGACTCTATCGATGTATTAATATCAGTTTACCTTCAAGCAAAGTCCAGCCGCTTGTTATATGATAGTAGATTATGCTGACCAGAGATAGAGACGCCCAGTGTCTATCATATTTGCATATCTTTCTGACGTTTTGACCTGACACGTATATATCACATAATTTCTCCTACGTTCAGACTATTTCGATTTCAAATAGCTCCAAAATCTACTACCATATATGAGCATTATGATACGCTGACAGATATCTTAATGTGTATATTCATACCTGATGTTATCGATGGACATACTTGTTGACTGGCCAATGCTAACGGATAACAAACTGGTTGATTACATCGCGTATTATTTACACACAGTGTATTTGGTATAGAGCACGTAACATTATCTATATTACAACTTGTCAGATTTCTACATGGTAGTGATATATCAGCACAAATTGTACCGCCACCATTTGTCATTGATAAACAGTCACAATCAATATTTGTTGAGCATAAAGTACGATTCAAACCACATGTCGATGAAACGCATGTTGATACAATTGATGCATTGGTAGAACCTACAGTAAAACAAAAATAATGAGAAATCCAAAATGGTGATATACAGTAGCATTAGTTGTTTAGTGCTGATCCTAAATTTCCGACCGCTTCATAGATCATCAGTGAGTCTACAAATAGCTACGATTCATCCCATCCAAGCAGCAAAAGATTATTTTTGTTTTATAAGTTGTGTGACACAAAAACAATCTGATGCGGTAGCTAGCACCATTCACACACGTCTGCTTTCATTCAACGCTTACGCGTAGTATTTATGCGAGTGTCGTTTGTATAACATACAAGAAAGATGAAACACTGCACGCTAAATGTCTTCTGTGAGACAAGGCAACAGGTCCTAATGCTCATCTATGAAATTATAAGAGTATTCTCCCTGTAATTAAAAAAAGTGAAAAACTTAGATTTTTGGCCTGAAAACATAAAACCTTGTCTTTGGAAGCATTTTCTAGATACGTCGTCGATGACAAATTTTCACTCGCCCTCGCGATAAAAATTTGTATCGCCGCCCATGTGTGTTTACAGCTGCATATATACCTATCACTATTGTTGTTGACATATCGGTGGCTAATGTTGTTAACGTCGAAGTTATCGTTGAGTTTGTGTTGATAGCTGTGAGCAGAAATGAAATTCAATTTGAGGATGCATTTTCACTATAATTGTTTAACTTAGTCTTCATGCAATGCACACGAGGCGATGCCGTAATCCTACTGTTCGGATCGTGCGTGTTCTCTATACAGTTGCGGGATATGAGCATTTTCAGGGTTCTCCTGAGGGCTTACAATTTATTAAGAAAATAATAATTTAACTTGATAGGTTATCTACAGCAAACCGTCGAAATCCTCATAACCCCAACTATATAGAGAATACCCATAAGAGGACAATACAGAATCTCTAATACAGCAAACACTCAGAATCCTCATATCCCTCAACTATAAGGAGAATACACATATGAGAACACAACAGAATCTGTAGTACAGTAACGTCCTCGAAATCCTCACGTCCATCAACTATATAGAGAACATACACAAACAGAATACTGAATCTGCAACGCAGCAAAACCGTCAAAATCCTCACATTCCTCAACTGTGTTGAGAATACACATAAGAGGACAATACGAAATACAGCAGAATCCTTAGATCCCTCAAGCATATAGAGAATCCACATAAGAGGACAATACAGAATCTCTAATACAGCAAAACTGTTAAAATCCTCACATCCATCAACTATATAGAGAATCCATATGAACAAAATCCGGAAACTGTAATACAGCAAAGCCTAAGAATCCTCACATCGAAATTTTCTCGACTGCTGAATTGATCAAGAGAGATGACAGTAATTTTGTTTCATTAATACACATACGGCTTATAGTTGTTGTCGATCTTGAGGTTGTACTTGTTAGTTTATTTGTGGTTGTACTTGTTAGTTTATTTGTGGTTGTACTTGTTAGTTTATTTGTGCTTGTACTGGTTCCTAAAATAGAATTTGAGTCAACTATGAAACAGGGAAACATCAAATTTACATTTCCTGAAGTTTATGTTCGTGTTGGTGCCTCAGTATCATTCGTCCCTTACACTACGAATTCGATAGAAAAACTTTTTAAAAAGATTATGGAAGCTACTGTTTGTTGATTTACTACATTGAAATGAGACATTATATAGTTGTTGCTCGTATTATGCTTCGGCTTTAAAAAGACAAAAAAATCAAATAGTAAAATAAATTGAACTTTTGGGTATGTAAAAAAAAGCCTATTGATGCAATTCAACAGTGTATAATCTTCTACGCATCTCAAGTTCACATTTAGTATTGGATACAAATCACATAAATTGTCGGTCGAACTTGTTGGTAAGCCGTTTTTACGAGTTTGCTGTCTATCTGAAGTCATTTTTCTTTTCCTTTTTCTCATGGCCTGTACATTCTCTGAGAGTCCAAGCGTGAATGTTTTCTTCGCATACGACAAGCACTATCTTAACGGTAAAAATCACGGGCGACGTACGAGAAGAGAATCTTAAAATGACTTTGGTCTATGGCAGAAATAATGTGGCCGCAAATAAACTGTCTGATATAAGTTACTAAGAAAATTTTTAAAGCACATTATATTGCAGACGCCGACCCCGACATCTTCAGTCAAAGGAATAAAAACAGTAGTTTAATGATTCTGTTGAAATGTTAAATATTCAAAACGAACAGTTAAAAAAAACAAGACGGATAAAAACATGAAACTTAAAGATCATATTTATAAAAAGAAATACTTTTCTACGATTATGTTCACCTTCCAGGTTTCAATAAAATATCCTTAATGAAGTACCCGAGACAATAAGTTTATTTTTCTCATCCTCTTCACTCTTGTGTAAACGAAGCTCTGTATAAATCTTTTTATTCTAATAGTACATATACCTCTCATAGTTGTTGTACTCATAGTTGTTATTGTTGTGGTACCAGTACCTTTTGTCGTTTTAGTGGTTATGCTGGTACTAGTAATGCTAGTGGTAGCACTAGTCATGGCAGTGGTAGTCGTGGTAGCTATTACAATTAGAACCATCTCATATTTTTGTTATCTGTTAATATAGGTCACAAGAGATACACTTACTACATGCGGTATTATCAATAGCGAACATTTGTATCCGATTATTTCCTTTGTCAGCAACATATAAATTTCCAAACAAATCAAACTTTAAGCTAACAGGGGAGTTGAATGATAAACCATCACTGCCAACCCATTGCGTGCCCAGTAAAATAATACCATTTGTGTCTCCTGGACTCCATTGTTGAATACGGTTGTTTGCTGTGTCAGCAACATAAATATTTCCATAACTGTCGACGATAACCGCTGATGGAGA